GTAAAGCTGCCAGCCACTCTGTTAGGAATCTGGGGCACCTTTTCCAACTAACACATTTTATTAGAAGGCATGAGCTGCAGCTCATTTCATAAGAGACATAGAATGGCAAGACTGACATAGGATTTAAATTGGAGGCAGTAGGGACAGGAGAGGAGGGGGAGATAAGTTGGTTGTGTAGATGCAGCTTACACGTGAGATAGATTTCAAGAATCTAATTAATTAGCACTGCACCTTTCCCCCCCACAGCACTCCAATAATGAACCTTAATAAAATGAAATATATCATTTTGATTGAGCACCTTCAGAACTTCTTTTTTTAATCTCTTGCCTAATGAATTATTTATTCCAAACAAAAAACAGTACATCTTATCTATCTATCTATCTATCTATCTATCTATCTATCTATCTATCTATCTATCTATCTATCTATCTATCTATCTATCTATCTATCTATCTTCTTACCATAACAAAAGAAAAGCCTTTCCAAAGGGATTCCCAGTCTTGAGGACAGGATGGAACTGAAGTTTTTTGACTATGGACTGCTATCATCATTGCTGGACCTTCACAGACAACGCATCTACAAAGTGAGAGACAAGTGTATCCTGAAGAAAAGGGAGAAACAAACTGCTGCATACAAATGAATTTTTAGCATAATAGTGCCTTCCATTTTCTTTCTCTGATATGTTTGCTCTTAATGATAGTCTTGGAAAACTTAGTTTAGATATATCACTGCCACTCAAAAACTTTTGCACTCCAAGCCATGAGGTGAGAGTGAACGGCAGAATGTTATATCAGGGCTGGAAAAAAAGAGCTGATAAATCAGGTAGCCAGCAGAACACACAGAAATGGAATATTTAATTCTTTATTTGTCTTTTTACAAAATCACTTATGCATCTTGATTTTGTTTTTGGAAACCAATAGTTTATCTGCTTAGTGTTTCTTATATAAAGATATGTATCAAATAAATAACTGTATAGAAATTAGAAGGGGAATCAAGTAGGAAAAGTTACCTGCTAATATAGGACTCTAAAGCTCTTCCAGAAATTGGTGCCATATCTGCAGGCATTGGTTTTTCTGTTGACAGCCAATAGGAATAATCATTGCGAGAAGCAAATCTGCAGACCGCTTGGGTATTACATAATAAAAAGGGCATAGTAGTAAATCTTGAAAGACAGCTGCCAGCTGTACCTGTATGATTCAGAAGAGAAGTTCTAGTGAGTTCAATAAAGTATCCTATTTTGTTATAGATATGCTGTGATGTTTATAATATCACTGTATATAAATCCATATAATGTAAGTAAATGATATAATAGAGACAATTCTGAAAAAAATAATCTGAGAGAACAAAGGAGTAACAAAGGTTTTTAATAGGGAAGTATCAAAAGCTATGGGAGGAGAAAATATTTTGGGATTAATTCCTTTGGAATTATCCTTGCTCTGGGTAAGGCAATGTTGAATTTAAAATTGGAAGACATAGATTAAAATAAAATAGCTAGAAAATATGTAAATTTATTAATGATACAACATGCTTTTTTTCTCATGGTGTTTTCTCAGGAATTTTGAAATAACCAGCTTATAGAGTTTTAAAACAGTACATAAAGCAATTAGACAGTAATGCTTATGCTGGCAGTTATTCTTAACCAAAACTCTCATTAAGAAATAAAGTTATTTGATCTGGACAATACATATATATATATACTAACTACTATACCATGAAAAGTGCTGCAGAGTGAAGATTCATCCTTAAAACGCAGATATAGCCACAATTCTTTGGGAATTTGTCAATTAAGACCTCTGTTTAGAATTGGCACTGTTGGATATGTTATTTTAACTAGGACATGAAATGCTTGCTTTTGCACAGCAAACTTTATAGATACCTTGTTAAGGAAAAAATAAAGCATAAAATTACCGAGGTCTTGTCCATGTGCTTGTTCATTTCCTTGTACAAAAAGAAGAGAGTAACCACTGTAGATCTGTGTTGTCCCAGATGGACATGTAGGAATTTTTGTTGACTGGCTGTGCCGGGAAAAAATGAAACCTCTTTTCACTGGACTAGTTATGTAGCTTCCTGGGAATCCAGGAAGTCCCTTTATACCAGGAGATCCAAGCAATCCAGGTAAACCTACGCATAAATTAATTTAAAAAATAACAATTAGAAATATTTGTGACTCTGTCCACTTACAAACTCTGTGCAAAGTATACACAATATTTCCATGATTATAATAGCCAGGTACAAGACAAAACCCAAATATTTCATTGTGTCTTCTTGTATTAAGTTCACCACTCCTTATTAAAGTACCTTTTTGCCCATGAAATCCTTTTTCTCCTTTGGGTCCAAGTGGTCCAGTTCTACCTGGAATACCATGACGGCCTGACTGGCCCATTATACCAGGAGGTCCTGGATTGATGAATAGAAGAAAAAAATGTTAGCATATGTTTAAAACATACCTAAAAGGAAGGGAACATTCTGGAGGAGACTTGATGCAAACTCATTGTAAGACAAGCTCCAAATAACTGCCAGTAAAACTAGCTCTCCTGTATTTCATCTAGAATCACCTTCAAAATGTAGGTGTTCTGTCTCTGAGTTCTTCCAGCATAGATCCTGAATTCCCCAACAAGCAAAATGACAGAAAGGCAGCCCAGCCAGAGCTCTAATTTTTGTTGTTGTTGTTAGCTGTGAAGTCGTGTCCGACCCATTGCAACCCCATGGACAACGTTCCTCCAGGTCTTCCTGTCCTCTACCATCTTCTGGAGTCCATTTAAGCTCATACCTACTGCTTCAGTGCAATAATCACCACATTAGACTAGATCAGTGGTGGCGAACCTATGGCACGGGTGCCAGAGGTGGCACTCAGAGCCCTCTCTGTGGGCACGTGCGCTGTCGCCCTAGTCCTAGGCCTTCAGCTGGGTTTTATAAAACTTTTTCACTTTAAGCCTCCGCCGCCGTGTGCAAAAAAAAAAAAGGTTCAGTCAATTTCAACTTCTCGCGGGGAAAAAAAGGTCTTGCAAAGTTGGAATTGATTGATTGAACTTTTTAGTCCCACCCAGTCTGCTGTTACCACCACAGCCACGCCCAGCCAATGGGCCACGCCCACCCGGCACTCGACGATGTATAAATGGGTTTTGGGTTGCAGTTTGGGCACTCAGTCTCTAAAAGGTTTGCCATCACTGGACTAGATCAAATAGAGCAGTGATTTTCAACCTTGGCATCTTGAAGATTTTGGACAACTCCCAGAATTCCCTGGCCAGCATGTTGAGGTTCCTCACATCTTCAAGTTGATCAGGTTGAAAAACATTGAAATGGAGAAAAGGAAGTATGTACCTGGAGGACCAGGTGACCCTCGGGGACCAGGATCTCCTGAGCTTCCAGGGTTTCCTGGAGGTCCAGCAGGTCCTGGGCTTCCTGGGAAAGAAACTGCTTTCACAAATGGTCCAGGCTGGCCTAGTAATGAAGATACAAGCAAATAAAGTGTTCTTTGTTTATTTATATACCATTACCATTATAGATTAATTGCCATTCTTTACAATTACAATTATTTATCATTACAAATCCAAGACAATTAAGTAAAATAGATCAAGTATATTTGCTACCAGGTAGTCCTGTTGGCCCTCGAGGTCCTGCTATTCCGGTTGGTCCAGGTGGTCCTTGATTGCCCTTTTCTCCTGGAAGGAAGAGTCTACTATTAGGCAGTAATTACATGATTATGATGTCAAAGAATACTTGTGAATTCTATAAAGCTCACATAAAGCTAACTCTGGGAATGCAAGACACAATTTATTAGTCTATTTAATTTTATGAGGGCAGAGTTTTGGGGAAAGAGGTTGATGTTAATTGGTTTTGGTAGTCTAGTAGGGTCCATTATCAAAGAAATATGCATAAAGATGCACATTCAGTACAGTATTGTTCTGCTCAAATATCTATGTTGGCCAGTTATTGCATACTTTTGCCTAGCATGTCTTGAACATATGAATATAGGTAAAGATCTCCAAGCCAAACAATTATGAAATACTGGTTTCAGAGACAACATGTATCCTTGAAATGTTTCCAAAGCTTTCACAAGCTGAAATTAGAGGGGTCATGTTTATATTATATATGCTACACTCTTTTGTACAGTAAAACCTGAAATCTAATTAATTAGTTACCACATGTCAGCCACAATTTGGTGTAATGGAATTTGTTCTATTAGATGCTGTCCAGGAGGACTTTTTCAAAAAATCCTACAGATGTGAGAGATTGATAGGTTAAAAAAAAACACATATTCTTGTGGAGCCTGACAAGAAAGTGGGCTATTGTCACACTGCATGAAAAGAACATTCAACCCTTTATGAACAACCCTTACAAAAGACAACTTTATCTCTTCTTCAGTAACTGCATGCAGAGCTAATGGATTTCAGCATGCATGCAATAAGAGCTTTGCAGTTGCACTGAGCTACATAAGAGCCCAAACAATTTTGGACAATATATATGAACATGTATGAAACAGAGTAAAATATCAATCAGTACAAGATGAAGAACAAAAACACGGGGCAAAAAGTGAAAAATCAATGAATTTTATTTAATGCAATTATAATAAACTATCCTTAGTCTGTTTTACCTAAAAGCAAAACTGCACAATTCTGCATTAGCTTTAGTGTTAGGGAAATCTTAAAGCCAAAATAAAGTGCATTTGGATGTGATTGTTGTTATGTATTTAAGACCCCTTTATCAATGGGGCAAGTGCTCCATAGAAAAAAAGTTGTATTTCAAGAGGGAAAGAATAGCCTGATTAAATGTTATTGTTTATTATTGTTATTCATATAGGTATCATTGCATTACATTTTAGTAGATCTTTATTTAACAGTAGCTTTGAGTAAGGTCAAAGTTAAGAATAAATCTGTTTCAGAAGGGAAAATTGCCTAGTTAAACCTGGGAGTTTAGTTTAAACTCACCTTGATAATCTTACCATTGATCTAAAATGAAGCTTTGAACTAGTTATTACATGCATAGCACAGCTAAACGCTTTATTGTGGAAATTTGGCTTTAATCTACTGAAATCTCTTAGATTTTAGTAAAGCTAACTTTTTATAGTGCCAGCAATATTGTTTTGAATCTTTACATTTAATGGCCAGCCCTGTCAAGAAAGAGGACAAGAATGAGACACAGAGCAAGAATCTTTGGATTTCATCCAAGAGAGAAACAGGTTAATTTTATACTGAAATTTTCCTAATTTGATCCAATCCCATATAGTCAAATGGACTCCTTGAGATCACTGGCTGAGAATCTCCATGGCAACTAGCAAGAATGTACAACCTTTTTTGCCTCTTTTTGAAGTATATCTCTTTTTTTTCTTTTTAAGTCAAATACATTTTGATTATTTTTTTTTTGTAATTAGTGTGGATCTCTTTCTAGGTTTAGAATCTAAGTTTAAATTTAAGACTTTTTGCCTGCTAGTTCCTACTTTATAAGTAGTGCAAAACACAATCCAACTTGATTTCAGAGACAACAAGGACAATACCTATTCACAGTGTTTTTTTTGTAAAAAAAAAAAAAAGGTGCTGGAACTCACACACGTCATACAACCCGCTTTGCCTACCCTACAAGGTTCCATCCAAAAAAGGTGCCGGAACTCTGTTCTGGGCGTTCTATGACAAAAAAAAGCCCTACCTATTCACACCATCTCTTGTAGCATGTAAGCAGTGACAATAATGAGGAGCTGGAGTGACAATTTCTGTTTATCTTGCTGTCTTGTTCATTTTTAAGACTTGGGCTCATGAAAAAAATGGCAAGGAAATAGACAAGCTGCTCTCTATATCTAATTTGTAAAATCTTTGCAAGAAATCATAGCTCCATTGAAGTAATCCAAGCCCCTATAGATCATCCTGGAAAAATCTTTGTGGTTATTGAGAGCTAAAAATAAAGGGACAACACTCAAACAATTAGTCCAGAAAAATATCTGCAGTATCCAATTTATATTTCATTCATGATGTGGGATATATAAGTGACATAATATGGCATTCTAGAATTAGACAACATAGGAAAATACCTTTTATTCCTTGTAATCCTGGAAAGCCAAGTTCACCATCAGAGCCCTGATAGCCAGGTGTACCCTCAATTCCCTACAAATCAGGGTAAAAATATTTAAACCTGCCTTCAATAAATTTTATAAGTAGGGCAGAGAGAGAATGAACATCAGTTTAAAAAACAATCTCGAGCAACCAAAAGCATTGCCAATGGAAAATTGGAGAATATAAACTCAGTCCTTATCATTGCTGGCCTTATATTCCTATTTTCTCACTAAAAGAAAAAGTAGCACTGAAACCAATTCTTTGATTAAATTATTTATTTAATCCATCTCTAATTTTAAAATAGGCATATTTCTGTATAGATACCTACATGTATTCTTAACAATTTTATTTTGGAACCTGTTATCTTTCCTAACAATTAAATGCAACAAAATAAAAGCATAGTTAAGTTCCTTAGTATTGGACATATTATTCTGAGAAAAATGAGGGCCTCAATAGAAGAAAAATTACCCATATCCTAAACACTCATAGGTCAATGAACGTGGGATGAAAATTCTTTTTGTATTTGCTCTGAGCTTCCCTGTTCCCATTTATAACAGGAATGAAATAGCTTATTCCATCTATGAGTGAAATAGCAAATAATAAAAAATAAAAATCTTAGGACATTCACCAGCCTAATGACACCCACTAATACACCCACTAATTCTGCATTGATAGCTAAAAAAAATGAAACATGGTAAAATTCCTGGTTTTTTAATCAATGCCAAAAACTGATTGTTCAAGTTACGGTAAATTATTTTTGCAAAATGTAAAAGCTTTCCTCATCAACAATTTTGCATTGTTGCAAGGCTAATATATAAAATCAATAAATGACTAATAAAAGATATTTATTTAACTTACTGGCATACCAGGAGGGCCATCATCACCTTTCATTCCTGGTGGGCCTGGAATTCCATCAGTTCCTCGGACACCTTTGTTTCCTTTTATGCCGTAGCCTGGGACTCCAGCAGGTCCTGGGCTACCAGGAACACCTATGTTTCAGGGGGTTTCAAAGTACATGCATTTGGGAATAGTATATTAACCAAGAATTGTGTAAAATTATATGCCTACATATTTTTATCTCTTCTATCTCCTTAATAAATTGCTATGTGTGTATGACACTTTTCACTTTAAATCTGCAAAGTTGGTAGCAAGGTCCACTTCCACAGGGAGCTGCCAGGAAGAATATACCCACTCACCCCACTTAACACACAACAGGCCAAATGCTTTTGGTCTAATATTGTAGGTACCTCAGGGGAGAGAGTTCCTTAGAATGCCATAGACAAAACCTGTCATTGAAACAATAGCCCACAACTCTCATAAATTACTGTCTCTAATTTGGAAGGCTTTAACAGGGGGGTTGGATAAGTTAATGGAGGACAAATCTATCAAGCACTAGTAGTCTTGAAGACAGGTTGGCTGTATTTTGTCTCCAAATACATTTGCAGGAAAGAAAATGGGAAAAAAAATACATTTCCGCCAATATGCAGAAAAAATGGTGGACGTGAAGTGCTTTGGTCTGATCCATCAAGGCTATTCTTATGTTTCTATATTAAATGCAGAGATGTTTGGACAGTTGGTACATATGCTCCCAAATGTCTTCCCTACAGAAGACAGCTAAATGAAGAGGGGGAAAACACCTAAAGTGAAAGTAGGAAAAAATTCATGATGAATCTGATCAGGGATAAGAAGTGAATAACTGCATCTATTTTGTAGTAATGATAAGTTGCTGCAAAACAAATGCTAAAGTTCTTGTATAATTAATGGCTTCTTACCTGGATTTCCATCTGGGCCAGGAGGACCTCTATTTCCTTTGAGGCTAAGTATTGTCCCTGGTTTTCCTGGAATTCCTGGTGGTCCAGGTAAACCAGGAGATCCACTAGGTCCTTGGTCTCCCATAACACCTTTAATGCCGTGTAGTCCTGGAGAACCAGCTACTCCCATATCTCCTTTGATACCTTGGGAATGAATATTTTAATCAAAGTTAAGAACATATTGATCATTATATTTTTAAGGGTACTATGATGTGTTCCAAACATTCTAAAAATCCCAAGCTAGTGATGTCACGAAATATAAACTGTATCCATCATTACTCCATAGATGTGTTCCTTTCAACGTATGCAGTTTATTTTCCACGAATATACTTTCTGGTAATACAATCTACTTTCCACATACAGGAATTATAATATTGGATATATAACCCAGTTTGGATCAGATGTTATGAGTTAGAAATTACTTTCTTTGTAACAATCACCATTAATGCTACTACATTTCTGATCAGATGATGTGATGATCTATCAGCAAGGAGTAGATAACCTAGAAATCCTGAAGCATTTATATTCAGCTTCTCTATCCTGTCTCTTCCAGTTAGGATAACCTGTAGCATATAGTCAACTCTAGAATAGACAAAATAAAACTACTAACTCTATGAAAAGAAAACATAGGCAAAAGTCTATGTGTGTGATACATACCTTAGCACTATCTGCTGTCTTAAGGAATTCAGGAAATCCTTAACTGTGGTTATGTGGTACCAAAAAGATTATTTATAGCAATTATCCCTCATAAGAATAATTATTCCTTTTAGAAGAATGGAAGGAATAATTCTGAAAAAGCCCTATTTTTCTTTTTGTAGTATCCACCCAATTATTGGCTACAATATATCAAACGTGTTTTATAAAATATATGCAAATAATAAACAATTGTCTAGCTTTCTGATCTGGATTTTCTTATTACAAACTTGAAGAAATTTTATTATGCAACTAGATTTCAGTTAACCTTAGTGGGGATGGAAATCCAGCTGGTGAAAAAGAAAAGCATGCTGTTGTCACAATATATATATATATTTAATAATATAGTAATAGCAATAGCACTTAGACTTATATACTATTCCATAGTGCTTTACAGCCCTCTCTAAGCAGTTTATAAATGTCAGCATATTGCTCCCAACAATTTGGATCCTCATTTTACTGACCTCGGAAGGACAGAAGGCTGAGATAACCTTGAGCCCAGTCAGAATCAAACTCCTGGCTATGGACAGTTTGCCTGCAATACTGCACTTTAACCACTGCCCTTCCCGGGCTATTATATATAGTGTACAAGATTTTTCAGATTCTATATTATGAATTTATAGCATCACAGGGTTGTATTGGGAGGAAAATAGAAGAAAAAGGTGTCTTGACTATGTTCACCATTTTGAGTTGTAAAAATAATAAACGTGGGTTAAAAATAAATAAAATAAATAAGATATGCAGTATAATTTTACCTTTAGGTCCAGGAAGTCCTTTAGGGCCAGAAATTTGTTGCCCTGGGGAACCTACATGATAATAATGTATTTTATATTTCAAAAGTAAAATAAAATTTAAAAGGCACTATATTACAATGGTATTAATAATAAATATGGCTAAATGTTATTCTGAAAATTCAGATGCCAAATATTCATAAACAAAACCTATTTTTAATGAACTCATTCAATAATGCTCTTTATTTCTTGATAAATTTATTTAGCAAAGGAGTTACTTGCTTAAATAGTTCTAACATGGCTGATACGTATTGTGATTTCCACATTGCTACAAAGTACTTCCAAGTTGCTATTAATAAATATATAACTGATTCAAATTCTTGTTCCAAGAAGTATTTGAAATACTGTACATTTTAAAAATACAGCATTAAGAATAAATGAAATCTCATTTTTATGTTCCTTATCATCTTTGCAATATGCTAAATAATGAGAAATAGCCAAAATACTTGAAACAGTTTTGCATCTAGTATCTGACAACAATAACAATCAATTCAAATAATGTACAATATAAAAATATGTGGTTAAAAATTAGCAAAGGTGCAACTAGTAGCCATTCTTTTTAAATAGTCTTCCTAAAGGTTAAGCAACTAAGTTAAATATGAGCATTTGTCAGCAATGAAAATAATTTTGGCGTGATATCACAATCCCAATTTAACAAATTTTGTCAAAATATGAAAAATATTTCAAAATTATAAAAACCTTGTGCTCCTGTTTCTCCAGGTGGACCATAAGTACCATCATGTCCTTGATTACCCTTTTCACCAACTAATCCATTTTCACCAGGCCATCCAACTGGACCTGAGGAAAATAAATTTTAAAGACATATTTTATATGCATTTCTGAAAATGAAAAAAGCCACATTGCTTAATATCATGGTACAAAAATAGTATAATGGGAGAGTAGTTTGCTAAACCACTAAAATAAATATATTTTTAGAGATATCAAAACACTGATACTTGCAAATCAAATTTTGTTCGTCCTAGAAACACTGTAGAAAAAGGTATATTGTGCTTCCTTCTAGAATACAGGTTGATAATGTCTCTGAATTATAAGACAGGATAAATATACAAATAGTAGACTATTTTCCAGGTGTTCTTCATCACAGACATGTGAATACCTAGACTGCAAGCTCTATAACAGTGATGGCGAACCTTTTAGAAACCAAGTGCCCAAACTGCAATCCAAAACCCACTTATGTATCGTCGGGTGCCGGGTGGGCATAGCCCATTGGCTGGGTGTGGCCCATTGATTGGGTGTGGCCCATTGACTGGGCGTGGCCCATTGGGTGGGCATGGCTGCAGTGGTAAGGGCAGACTGGGTGGGACTAAAAAGTTCAATCAATCAATTCCAACTTTGCGAGATCTTTTTTTTCCCCCGCAAGAAGCTGAAATTGATCGATTGAATCTCTTTTTTTTGCACACGGCGGCAGAGGCCTAAAGTGAAAAGGTTTTATAAAACCCAGCTGAAGGCCTAGGACTGGGGCGACGGCATGCATGCCCAGAGAGGGCTCTGCATGCCACCTGTGGCACACGTGCCATAGGTTCGCCACCACGGCTCTATAATATCAATATCATGTTTGGCTTTCAGGACAATTCCTAGTAAACTTTTAGGACAGCTCTTTTCCAAACAATAAACTATGCTGCTCTTATTGTTGAACTATATTATTTCCTTCTACCAAATCACTCTAATCTGGAGTGGGAAACGTGTGGCCTACTGGTTTTTTTTACAGCCCTCAGTGTAATACCAAAAGGAACTGAAGAAAACCTTTCATTTAGATTAATGTTCTATTTCTTCTGTGTACAGTATTTTGTTAAATGTAGAAGAAATGAAAGAGGTGACATAAAACTAAAGAGAAAAAAAATAGGAGAAAAGAGACAGAATTAATGGCTCTGTGAAATGTTTGTTTTAGTTCCACCTAATGTTTTAGATTCCTCTACTATTGGGATTTTCCTAGATACTATTCTCATGGAATATGGCTCTCTACAAGTTGACCACTCTTGTAGTCTTTGCTAACTAATAATGCTTATATTGCTCACATCTTTTATGTTCACTGATAAAACTTGAAGAAGAAACAGCTTGAGCAAGCTGACAACAGTAAGGAGCAACCCTCACTATTTGTTCCATATTCTTTTCCCTGGTAGTGTCTAGATATTATTTAGAAGATTAAAAAAAAGAAGAGCAGTACATAGATTTTATCAGCAGTTACATACAGAAACAACTCCAGCAGTGGCCAGTTCAGCTATGCCATATTCTACCAATAAGAAATCCATTCCACCTAATAGCCATGATATCAAACTAGAGAAGACAGTATAGAAATCCATCAGTATGCTCAGTGGTGGGATTCAGCTGATTTGCACCACTTCGGCAGAACCGGTAGCTAATTTTTTGTTGCCCAGGCCCAGAATGGACTTCCAGAAGCGGCATCCACACAAAGAACCGGTTGTTCACATATTTGAATCCCACCACCGAGTATGCTACATGTTCAATTAATTTGGTTTCACTGCTTCTATAGATTGCAAAGCTCTGCATCTGTGCATCTATGCAACATGATATATGGCAGATGGATTGCATTTTGCATTATGGCTCATAATCCACCTGTGCTTCTCAATCATATTATACAGGAGAAATATTTCCATTTTGGATAAGAGATAAAAAAAGCCTGGAAGAGTTAAAATAGGTTCTTAGACTTTCATGCTCTCTATTTAGATAGATAAAACTAGTTAAAAAATAAATTGTTGTGTGTTTCAACAGTGAAAACTGGGGAATGTTCAGAAAAAAAAAGAGTCTAAGAATTTACAAACCTGGAGGTCCTCTAACACCATCTTGTCCTGGTAGTCCGTTGTTACCTTTGCTACCTTTACTACCCACAGGTCCTGGTTGTCCTATATATAGAATATAACACATTGACAAAAAATTTTAAAGGGTATTGTAAAGGAGCGAAGTGGATCCATCTTTTTCCTTCATTGAATATAAGTACTTATGTGTTCTCCATAGTGCTTAACTAGCACAGACAATTAAATGCCCTACTTTATGGCTCAGCCAAACGCTCTTCTTGCCCTGATTCTGAGACCAGAAACTGGTAATAATTTTTAAGATCCCTTCCTCACAATGGAGCCTTCCTCTTGGTACTATCTTTCCAATGAAACGAGCAGAATCAAAGTGATCTGGCAAGAAAGTGGTTGTTTCCATCAGAAAACAAGATGCAAATTCCTACACAGATATTCTAATTTGTAGGAGGAGCCTAAGAGAAGCTGGTGATCTGCAGATTCAGCCCACTGCAGGACCATCTTGTCCATCCTGATGTGAGGCTGTGTGCCTTCGTGGTCATTTTTGCTTTATCTGTCAGAAAGAACAGGACCTCCATAGCCTAACATAATCAAGATTGCAAAAACTGATATAGTACAGCTACCTGACATTTTGAGGAAAAAACATGAAACGTATAGGATGAGTTCCAAAACAGTACGTCTTAATTAAAAAGCAAAGGGAAAAAAAAGATAATCCATAAATCTAATCTCTCAGGTCTGTGAATTGGCCACTTACGACCCTCAACCCACCAAGCTTGGCCAACAAAAGACTGAAGTCACCATTCTATTTTACCTGTAATTCCTGGTAAACCAGTATCCCCTCTGTTTCCAGGTAGTCCAGGTACTCCAATAAGACCTGGGTGGCCTGGTGATCCACTTGCCCCCTTTCTTCCCCTCTCTCCAAGAAGACCTGGATTACCCTAGCATGTAGCAACAAAATAAAAGAGTAAATAAAAGACCAACAAAGAAACATCACCTGATACAAGGAAACTATCATCAGTTTTCTATACCTGAGGTCCTGGGTTTCCTGGAGGCCCAGTACCAGGTTTAGGTTCTCCTTTATCCCCTGGAATACCAGGAAA